TGAACTCCTATAAAACTGTTTTTTTCTTACCTGCCCGTAGAGCCTCTTTAAGTCTTTCCAGGAGTTTATCTGTGAGAGGCAAAAGAAACCATATCTCTTCCTAGTGATGACGCCACATAATGCAGAGATGTTGCATTTCTCCAGCTCAAGTCTGAGCTATTAAAATGGTTCAATAATAAGTACACCGTTCCCAAGATCTAGTAACACTTTAAACATTTCATAGCTTCAGTGACTGTAAAAGTAGCGCACTAGTTGAAGCTGTGTACTTAGAATGCCCCGTTTTACGAAACATCGATCTGTTTGATAAATTATTTTTGGGAGTATTTAGCTGTTAAGTTCCGCTGCAGCGGGAAAGATTTGAATTTGAATTCGACTGTTATACGTTTAGACATCAGTGAAATTGTCGTCTTCCTCATTATTTGGGACTTCCGTTGGGTTCGCCACGTTCATTCTTAAGAGACATCTGGCTCTGCTCTGTAATAACAGAATTGTTGTTGGTTATAGTATATAGAAATTTTTTCTGCACTTTTTGTTTTTTATTTTGCGATGAATTCTTCATTTCTTTTATTTGTTTAATCTACAGAACATTTTTTATCTACCAATGAGCATCGCGGAAGTGGTAAATGAAGTAGTCGTACTTTACTTTCAAAAAGATTGAAATTGCAGGTCGTCGATTAGAGTTTTTCCGTTTTGTGGTGTTATTTTTAACAGTCTTCTTCTGCCTGGTCGTATTATGCGCTGCTCAGGAATATTTTTCTTAATCTACGGTCGCTGATACTGATTTGTTAATATGGCTGCCAATAACCTGCAATGTCTCACTTCACGTGTTTCATATACCGTCGGTGGCGAATTGGGTTTTGATGACATTCCACCTCCAACTCGTCAAGTACAGGTGAGGAGAATATTTATTGGTTTCTGTGGTCGTTGGAGGCTAACCTTGGGCAATCAGCGGTAACTGAAATTGGGTGAGATAGTCAATGGTCAATAGTCAGTGCTAATTTTTTGAAAATTTTTTGGTTCTTCAAAATTGCCGCTTTAGTCAGTCTTAGGCTATTCAGTGTTACCGGACACATTGGGTAATTAAAATTGTAGTCTTTGTTTTCGGTTGAAGTATCTCATTCTTAAGGCTCTGGACTTTGCAGTTTTTTAAAATTAAATTGTGTGCTGCGATGGATAATGTCTTTGTCGGATGTGAGTGCTGAGTTTATTTTTATGCTTCACTTTTGTGTTTCAGAAGAGAAGAATCTCTGCCAACGTTTAGTGGTTTCATAGGTTTCTTCTTCGTCACTCCTAAAAGCCATTTTGTGTTGCTCTCTCACAAATAGTTTTTGTTGCATTTGTCTTTTTATTTTATTCTGAAGAGCGTCTCCTGAAAAAACATTTATACAAGCCATTACTGTACGAGCGTTTTATTTCAGGATTCTAACCGTTTGAAAGTTAATGCTCAAAAAGCGGAAAATGTTCATTATGTTGGTCAGAAGAGGTATTGTTTTTCTAGTTTTCTATTTTATTATTATCTTGATTTTTTAATTAATATTTAGGAGAAGGACAAGAGGGTAAAGTTAGTTCTGAATGGGGACATGGAACCTTTTCATTTTATGGTACCGTGCCAAAAAATTGATCTGAGGGACTGTTTTGTAGTACTTCACCCTTATGAGGGCCTGTGAATTGGATTAAAGTGGTGTTTTACTAAGTGGCTTTTTTCTACCAAACTTATGTTGGTAGGACAAGTTTAAATAGAACATAATGCTTATAAATGTGATTCTTCTGTCATGGCTTAAAGTTCTTCAAGAGTTTCAATCCCTTTATTGGCAAATTTTTTGTCTCGTAGTGTCCTCATGTTTTATAAGTTTTGATGAATTCAAAGGCTTTGTAATTTCAATTCTTCTATCTCTCTGCAAGGGATTTAATTTTTGGCATTAGAAGATGGACTAAGAAACTGCGATAGAGAGGTCGTCTCGAATTGGCTTAGTTCATTTCTTGCTTCCTCTTTCTTTAGCTTAAAAAAAAGTGAGGAAAGACTGAGAAGTGTTGCACTGTTTTTGCAATTTGTTTTTGATACTTGAACTAGAAAATATGAAGATCTGGTGCACTGGAGAATGCAGAAAGAAGCAGTTGGGAAACATCCCCATGCGCAACTGTGACATTACTGAAGCCTGTAAGTCACGGAAGGGTACAAACAAAAAATAGTGAAATAGAAAGTAATTTTAAAAAATTTTACCGTGAAGGAAGGGAAGACGTGTGTTGGAGTTTGGTGATTATCTCAAATAAGCTGGATTTACTCAAAAACCATATGCTTAAAGAGTGAAATCACCCAATATTAAGAAATATACGGTTTGAAATAGGCACTATGAGGTGAAGATTTTTAAAAAATGCCACTCTCTGATTATCTTTGAAAATGTTTATTCAATGCTTTCACTCTTTAGTCATGAGTGTCCGGCGGTCCAGGAAGCTAGTAAAGTCCTCACTGAAAACAGAGGAAGAGTGAATCAAGCAAATCTGATATGCAGAGACTGTTGCACCAAAAATGCAAAGAAAGCCGTGGTCGGTGTTCCTCATAATATTTTTAGGAAAAAAACTGTGGCGTTTGGCAGGACAACTAACTTTTCACAAACTGTTGAGGTGAATTTTATCAGTAAGAGGTATTCGTAGTAAAGTATATGTTATAATAACGTATAGAGTGTAGACCTCATTACTCTACTTGCGCAACTAGTTATAGGCTACTGATCTTCAAAGGCGTAAAGTGCATCTATGTCCAGGCGTTAAGGGGCAAAGTGGATTGCGGAAACCTCTAGACAGTGACGTGCGTAATAAGGTATTACTCATTTTTGAAAATCAATTTTTGATACTAATCCGTAATCTTTTGAAATTTCATTTAGCTTACTGAACTTGAAGCGACGGTCGAGGAATTAAGCAGTAAAGTTAAGGAATTAATTGATCGGGACAAGAAATCGAATGACGAGATCGGGGATCTGCAGGAAAAGGACTTAGAAAAGGAAGAACAGATTTTGAAACTTACGAATATAGTTAAGGTTTGTGCTTGAAATACATTTTTTTCACTTGATAATGTTTTACAGTGTATTTTCTTTCTCTTCATTGTTGCTATATTGAAAGTGGAACTGCTTTATGCAGAACTTCAATTCTAAGTCTAATAAATAGCTGAAAGTCATTTCTTTGCCACTTTTATTCTAATTCAGGGTCTGATGTCTATGAAGTCAATTAAAAGGTTTGAATTAATAAAAAGAAAAATGGAGACAAGCCCAGAATTTGAGCGGTATGTTAACGAAGGTTTGATGCGCTTTGGAGGTGATAATAGCTTGACAGAAATCGCTGAATGTAGCAGAGAACCTGCTTCCCGGTAAAAAGTTTTTCTCATTATTGCTTATCTAAATTCTTTTAAAGTTTCGGCACCAGTTTCCTTCTTAAGTAAGACCGAGAGATATGTACTTCGTGACGTTACTCAGCGCAGTCAAATTGATGCTCCCATTGTGAAAACTACTCGGGTAACAAAACAAATGACGGTTGAAGAAGTACAACACTCACCAGCTCGTCCCGCTATGTTTTCGTACGACACAACCAGGTTCCTCGCTCGTCACGGTGTTGTTTATGGTAAAGATTTTTAACGGCAAGTCATTCTGGAATTCTATGATTTGTCCGCAAGTCAATGAAGATGTTTTTTTGGGACGTCATTCCAATATTTTAATGCTTATTGACAATTGTCAGAAGAAATTGGGAAGCTTTCCAGATGAATATGATATGAGGGTTGCATCTGTCGATGAAGAAACAAGAAATTGTCAGGCTTCATCATCTCAATCGCTGTACAGGCCAGGAGATTCAACGGTATATCACCCTCACTCTAGACGACGACCCAGCAAGTTTGTTCAAAGGAAAGATGGTGGAATTTTTAGAACGAAGGAGTTCAAGAAAAACGACACTATTTGCGAGGTATTTTGTTGTGTTGTGTAGAAGTCTAAAATAGTGACATTTCATTTATTTCTTTTACCATTTTTACTTGGTTTATGCGTTGAAAGCTGGTTTCGGTTAGAGCTATGAAATTTTCTTGGCTGCTCTTTTAGTTTACTGGCATCTATGATGTTAGACCATTTGCGTATAAATGGTAAAGTGATATTTGTTACAGGAAGAGGACAGTGATCTGGATTCTGTAAGTGTAATTGATGAAGTTGAGGAGCTTTTGAAAGGATCTAACATTAATGAAAGAAGTCCTGACGTGGTAGATCGATCATTCAAAGGTAGTTTTAACATAAATTTATTTTTTAATTTCTATTCATTTCTTATCTTTTTATGTTGCTTATAAAGACTTAGATTGTTAGTGCGTTTTTAGGAAACAAAATTTCTGATAGATCTGTTAGGAACCTACGCGATCTAAACCGAACAGCTTGGAGTTGATAAAGGTGCGCAGTGACGTACTAAAATTACTTGCCAAACTTGTATTTATTGCTCTTTTTCTGCATGGTCACTTTAGTTTCCTCTATTATCTACTGACAAGCTCTCCCCGACATTTTTAGCCTGTATTATGTACTTTCTGATTATTACAGATGGATTTTTCGTTGGAAAAGACTCGTTATTTAGTTATTTTAAGGAAAGTCTGTTCTACAGAAAAAAACTGAATCAAGATAGTGAGTAAAAATCCTGTTGCGGTTTGGGCAGGGGAACTTTGAGGCATCAACGCGCTAAATAATGGCACAGAAAAATTTAGTTGTTTTTATTATTTCTTTACCTCCACGAGGAAGCTGCACAGAATAATTTTAGAGGACTGTTCTGGGTAATATAGCTGGAATAATACGGTCTTTAATGATTACATGCTGAGAGATGCAAGTAGTGTCTGTTGTCCAGCCTCATAACTTGTGAGTATTTTTAGCTTGCAGATGGTCTGGTGATGTGCTCAAGGCACAGGAAAAATCACTTATTGTGCAGGTTAAAATAAAAGCAATTTATTGCAACTTAAAGCTTTTTAATCATTAAAGCGACTTATTCTCTATGTGTTTTCTAGTCTTCGTTTTTCCTGGCTTTGTTTTACACGAAATATTTGGTTTTTCTCTGTTTAACAATTAATGAATTCACTAATGTGTTCTCGAGTTTCCTAAATTGTGTTCGTGGTAGGTTTTTGCTTTAGGTTTTTTTTGCGAGTTAGAAGGTGACTAGACAAGTATCATTGATGGACAATAATTCGTTTGGTCTAGTTTCTACAAGCGGAGAAGCAGCATGGAGATGGTTTAAAAGATTTTAAAATCAGAGATTTAAACTTGTTAACAGTCATTTTGATTAATGAGGTGTCAGCGGGAAGCTCGTGGGTCTGTTTGTTCGAGTTTTAAGCTGGAGGGTTAGGTGATGAGTAGTGGAGTGAGGTGCTCTTCTGCTATGACTGAACCACATTTACTGAGTGGAGATGGTGAACTTGTCTAGGAAAATTGTTTTGCAAAGACCGGGAGTGGTATTATGTTGGGCCACCTCGACGTCAGGTAAAGAAAATCAGAGGAAATATTCGTGGAGTGCAGTAAAAAGCGGGCTTCGTATGGAAGTTGCGAATATCAAAGCAAGGGATTATGGGAGGGAGGATGTGGTTAGTGTCTGTTTTTCTGCTAGGGCAGTTTAGAACGGGGTTAAGTGAAGCAGTTGAGATTGTGAGGTTCTACGTTGTTTAGCGAGGTTAAGTGGTATTTTACAAGATTTCGTATGGAAATAGAAGACATAAAATAGGGTTTTTGAAGTCATCGGGCTTACTTGTTTTCGTTTCATTTATTCAAGCATTGAAGTTTTCATCAAACGTTTGGAGTTTCACGAATTCCGAGGACTTATTTTTCTGCTCTCGCATTGTCGTTGAGTTGATTTTTTGCTGACGAAAGTGTATTAGTTTCGGCAGTATTCGCCCTAATTTATAGGTCTTGATGTGCTTTTTTTTCAAAGTTTTAGTGGGACCGCGAAAAGTTTGTGGTCTCTGAGTCAGTTTTTTTGTGCTCACTGGGTGGTTGTCGTGCATTGTTTGTTGAAAATTTGAAATGGGGAGCTTAACAAGCATTCTACATTTTTTAAGACTGCAAAAGCGGAGGTCTAGAGAAGTTTGGCCTGGGACAAAATTTGGTTTATTGTCACTGGTAGAAAAGCAACTATGTGGAAAGAAGGTAGCGGTCTGCATCATGATACGGAAGGTCCAGACTTGCAGTTGACGTTAGCAGCTTTGGTTAAATTACTTCAAGGAAGGAACAGGGCATGGCCAGATGTTGTGAAGGAAGTTGTAGATCGTGCATTATAGAACCATAGTGAGGCTGATTAAAGAAGTATGTTGAGTCAGGCGAGTTCTTAGATTGTCTTTGATGTGCAATACGAATCGTCAAGGGGTAGTAGAGGTGTGAGCGCTCAGCTTTGACGGGTTAGACAGAAAAGCCCTAGGTGCAGCATGGAAAGACCTTAAATCAACATGTTGGAAATCGGCACTTGAAGGAAATCCACATTTCTTGAGGGCCTCATGCTGCGAATTCAACTGTTTTTGCAACAAATTGTGCTTTTAATGCAATGTGCGAGTTGCATGAGTTTGTCATGGCAGTCGGTCAACTCTATCAAGTAAGAGTTTCATTGGAGTTATGCTTTTATAGATATAAGTTAACAGTCATGAATCAGCAGACTCCTTTTTTATTAACCGTAGTCATCCTGGCTAAATATTCTGTATTTTATTTTAATAGTAAGCAACTTGGTTCTTTAAAAAAGATGAGGCGAAATATGACTGGCTTTAATAGTAGGATTTTACTTACTATTTTGAAAGACTGTTTATGGATTTCATATGATTGCTTAGTTTTAGGTCTTAGATATACTTATCCACCAATAAGCGTTCTAGAATACTGGTTAGTTTATAGACTAAATTCAAACAATTTACGGAACTTAGTAAATTGAATTTTGATCAATCTTTCAGCATCTTACCACAAACAGAGCATGCCTGTAAAAATCTAGGCGTTTTAAGTGCAAATAAACTTGGTTGATGATCTTACGGAGGTGTCAAACCGGTAATGATTATCTGAAGACCACTCATTAAGAAGAGTTTTAGGCATCATGGTTGAATGATATTTAAGCACTGTTAAAGCTGTTGCATGGAAAAATTGGTATAAGATATGTAAAAACCAGGTAAACGTCGTAAAGTGAAAATTACGGATGTGAGAATAATTTTTGCACTTGATTTTTTCAATAGTTTTTGTCAAATTCTTGTTAAATTATTACAGTTCACAGCACGTCAGAGTCCTAAAATGGTCAGTTGGACAATTAATGGCGGCTGTCGCTTTCTACTTTAGTAGACATTACATTTCTCTTTGAAAACGAACACTTCAATCTAGAAGATTGTCAGTTACAGAGATAAAAGTGTTCCTGGTTTTCGTCAGGATTAAAATTGGTACATTCAAAAGCAGAACTTTTGCTCAACATCAAATTAGAATTTTTTTGCTTTTCAAATTCTTTGGCAACGCTTTATGCGAATTCAAGGCGTTTCACATTGAATAATTAGTTCTTTAAAACGTGACAACTTCTGTCGATCTAGTTTTGTTGCGTCTTGACAGTTAACTGGAATTCAGGTCGACAGTTGCCTTTACTGATTACGATGACGTTGAAGCGTGCTGTTACAGTGCTTCATGACCAATGCCGTTTTGTATTTGGCAACAAAATTGATGGGTTGGACTTATGATATTATTTGCAGTATTCCTATTGACGACTTTGGTTACGGGATCTTAAACTGTATTTACAACTAAAATAAGTGTGGAAAGTAGCTCGTACAGTTAGGTATTGCTAGCGGATTTTCAAAAACGATTTCGGTTAATAGTTTGTTTTTTCAACTGTATCGTTGAATCATTTTTATAAATTAATAAAGGTTTAGAAACGCTTCATTTTAGTGACTGTTCACATTGAAAGACTTCTACTATTACACTGTTCTTATAGTTTCTTATATTCTGTAGAAGAGATTGTCTTGTTTTCGAGCTGCATAGACAAACGAGATCTCTCAATAATTAACGTTTTTACGCGGTTACCATACGGTTATTCTATTTACCAGCACTGGACAGCGAATGTTGTGTAAATTGTTCGTAATTTGATTACAACTGTTTTTAAGATTTATTGCGATTAATTTGCAAACGATTATTTAAAAAAAAAAAAATTGCTTAGTTATGTAGGTACAACTAATCACTTTGACAAAACAGATGAGACTGTTATGAACAATTGATTATGTTGTTGTTATCTGTGTAAATAAATGCGGGTCTTTGGTGTTAAAGGATAGTCAAATTGTCAAGCAACAAATTCTGTCTGTTTAAAATACTGCAAACATTAGAGACGACTGGAAAATTGCTGTAAAACTAATACGAATGGAAAAAACCAAACGAACGATTTATTGTCTTCTAAATTTCTGTATAGTTTGTTTTTTTTTTTTTTGCAAAAAG